TACTAGTAAATGTCAAATCGCCTTGATTTTCTCCTGTCTCAATGTTTTTATCTATTTTAAGAGTTGCTTCGATTAAGCTTTTAAATTTGATAATCTGAAATATGGCTAACCCAAACAGGATCGATCAACAAGGAACAATGTCCATCATAAAAGGAAAATGTGGAGGTATTTTGAGAAAAATAAATACAAGACGTTAATTGAACAAATAAGGGCATAAAAAGAGGGCTCTTACAAACAAGCAATGTATATATCATACAAAATATGAAAACATTTTCTTGTTTGTTCTTCTCTTCACCAATTAGTTATGGGCATAACCAGGAATGGTTATGGCAAGACCAGGAGCAAGCATGTTACATGCATTTTGGATGCGCAGGGAAATTTGTTACCTCATCTTCCTCCAGATAATTCAATGGGAACTTGGTGATATACTGAATCTTCTCCAAAGTCAAATCTCCCCTGCAATCTCTCATATTCTTGCCTACGAGTAACTTCGATATGCTGCCACTCTTCCCACCTCTCAGCCAAGCCCTCTCCTTCCAGCATCCGCACCACCTCTGACATTGCTGGACGGCCCTCTGGTGATGCTTGTGTACAGAGCAATGCGACCTGAATCATCATCTCCACCTCTTGGATGTCATATTTAGTATTGAGGTTATGATCTACAATAGCATCCAACCTTTTCTCCCTTTCAAGCTTCTTGACCTTCATAAACAAATTAAAACAGAATGCCACCACCAGTAAGAAGAACAAAAAAATCCAAAATGGCATAACAGAACAGATAATGTCAATTCCATTTAGAATCGGGCAAGAAAAAAAGATTCCTTTTAGAAGATATCAATTACACCATTACATCAATGAAATGGGATCATCAGATTTTCCCTTCATTGTTTAAGAATGAAAAAATAAAAGCCCAGGTCAGAGAAGCTATGCTTCCAAATACTACCTGTCATCCTTTTCCAGTTGTGCTAATCATTCTCATAAAATGAAAGTTCTTTCCCAAGGTTTGGATAGTAATTGAACCACCAAGCCGACCCATGCCTTTCAAGCACACTTGACTCACTAATTTGCTAAGTCAGCTTTGATACGGTTGACCAAGTACAAAGGGATACGAAGGCCGATTTAAAGTGTAAACACGATAAGGTTTCTTAGAACACATGAGAAGGAATGAACATCATAGAGCCGTACAAGCATCTCGGAACAAAGGAAAAAGATAAAGGTTAAATTCCAAATTTGGTCCCTCAACTTTAGTGAGTTGCACATTTTTGGTCCCTCAACAATTTTTTGCACTTTTTTGATCCTTCAACTATACGAAATGCACTCCATTAGTCCTTTCGTCAATTTAGGCTATTAACTCCGCCCATGTAACATTTCTTATATTATTTTTGATGACGTGAAGAGTAAAATTTAAAAAAGTGCTGATATGGACAAAGTGTTTTGCCATGTCATGTTCCCACGACTCAAAAGCGCCAAATCCACTTAAATGGACCCCACATTACCTGTCGAAGCACCAATAAAAACATGATAAACTCCTATGAACCCTAAATTGCTCTTTCATCTCCACTTTATCTGCAACATTGATCTTAATTCATATTTTCTTCTTCTCTTTTCATGACAAAACTTTACGAGATCTAAATGGATGGAATTTGAGATGAGATTTACTAAAACTGAGTTGCCTTTACTACAACATGTCTGTGATTCTGGTTTGAAATAAAAAAGAAATAACAAATAATAAAATTATGTTATTATCTCATCTCCCTCTTAATCCATCTTCTTCCTCACTTTGCTCCAGCTCAGATTGAACCCAACAGAATTTGGGTTTTATGTCGTCGAACCCAACTACTAGGATTCATTGAAGCCACTTACTGGGTATGATGAATCCAACAAAATCAAATGAACCCCTCAATAAATAATATCAATCAAACTCTAATCAAAATTCTAACAAAAATGCAATCAAATTATATATCAACTCCCAAATTTATCAAGAACTAGGAATAGAAATCAAAATCAAAAGAAGAATAAAACTAGACAAACAGCAGACGAACCCAGCAATTGGGTTTGACAGAAACCAGCCAATCTACGTTCCACCGAACCCAGCCACTTTGGGTTTCGAAGGATCGCCAACCTCGACTCAATCAAACAAGCCTACCAGATCTGCGTTTGGTGAGGTCGGAGAGAAAGAAAGAGAAAGAAAGAAAGAAGGGAAGAAGATGGATCGAAAGGGTGAGGGTGAGGGTGATAAAGTCATTTTGTTTATTTTTATTTTTTGTTAAAATATAAATATTCATAAGTGGCATTTTATTTGTTTATGTAATATAATTATAAGATAATTTATTGCCACATCACTAAAAGATTTAAAAGAAAATGCCACGTGAAATTATTTAATGGCCACATCATACTTAACTGACAAAAGAACTAACGGAGTGCATTTTTTAAAGTTGAGAGATCAAAAAAAATATAGAAAATTGTTGAGGGACCAAATTTAACATTTAACCAAAAATAAACTGACATGCAAAAACCAAGAGAGTAATTTTCATAGTTATCTTACATGTTCAAGCAGTAAGACATCATCCTCTTCTTCCAAGCGTGAAAAGTCAATTGCACGTTGACTAGTTACAAGCTCCAGAAGCATACTCCCATAACCAAAGACGTCTGTTCTTTCTGATGACTTTCCAGTGGACAAGTATTCAGGTGCTATATGGCGCATTGTCCCACGAACTTGGGTTGTCACATTAGTCCGTCTCACATCCACCTACTTTGCTAAGCCAAAGTCACCAACAACTGCTTCAAAGTCTTCATCCAACAATACATTAGCTGCCCTCACATCCTGATGGATGCTCTTAGGATTGCAATGTTCATGCAGGTATTCTAGCCCACGTACGCGTGCTGCACCTAAGGCTATTCTTTTTCTTGTAGGCCAATCCAAAATTGCTTCACCAGGTTTGAGTTCTGTAGCAGTTTCATCATTAATCAAAGTACAATCAAAATTACATCTTAATATATCTTGACTGCTTACGACAAATCAAGAAATATAGGCTGATGGATTGTCGAAGATGACGTCAAGATTACACGTTAAACAGTCACAGAGTGTGTGTCAGCATACTCCTAAAAAAAGGTTCAACAATAAAATAATTTATTCTTTGCATGTAGCATAACCCGTTTTTTAAGGCAATTTCTCTTCTTTTTTTTTTTTTTTACTGAGGCAATCGTTAGAAGTTATGAGTTAAAAGTTAGTATTTTACTTTTTTGCAAAGTTCGATCACTGATTAAGATGCGATCTATCACCAACCCTTTTGGATTGCAGTGACCATCAATGGACCACAATAAGGAAATGCTTCAAGGCAGTTTCTATGTGATCATGACCACAGGGATCATCAAAACATTCTTTTATGAAGTTACTACTCATAATTGGATTGCATTGAGAATAACAAGATTTTAGATTCTCTGTCTCCAAATACTTTTCGGCTTCATCTAAAACTTCATGTGAAAATAAGATTTTAATTTCTACTGCAGCCATCTATAATGATAAAAATTTCTAGCCAATGTCATGGACAGAAAAAAGAATGGCTTCTAATAGATTGTGTTTTTATTGTGGTAAAGTTATTTAAGTATAACTGGAGACACTCATGCCACTGTTTCAGAGGAAAACCACAATTAATAAGTTCAGTTTAACCAATTACGGTGTATTATGTTAGTTACTTCT